CATAAGAATAAAAGGCTGAGAACCATCCACAAAACTAGATTACACAATCTCCTTGTAAATTAATTCCATTACAAATAAGATTTTCAGGAAAGAAACTTTGAAAATATCATATGGAATTATCTCTTATTTTAAATCAGATGTAAACAAAAATGGGAACAGCAAAACACCTATAAATCAGTTTTTTTCCCTAGAACCTACTGAACCTGTTAGTGATTTATATCTAAGCAGAGTATTTCTACAACACTTTGATACTCATATACTTCTACTCTTATTATGGAGATTGTCATGTTGTTGCAAAAAATAGACTTCTATAATAATGAATTAGGTTGAACCGTAAGAAATTACTGCTTTTGTCATTCAAAAAAGGTCAGATATTGTGGGTAAATTTTGTGGGTAAAAAATGGTTTCATATTGGCAATTTCCTATGGTTTGAACTTTATTATTATCTGGCTGATTCCACCCCTCCCCTCCCGCCCCCCATGTTTCTCATGACTTTGGAAATATACCAGAATACTTTCAGGTTTGTTTAAGTTTAGAGCAAAGATGACTGAGTTCCAATTTTTCAGTTAGAACTACATTTCTTGCACAAGAACTTTTACCCTTTTATAAGCCTGCACTCCATATACTACATCATACTCCAGGTGGCATCAAACGAGAACAAATTCTTGGAGAACTGAACCTGATCTTCTGGTTCCTGCTAAATACAGATAATCTTAGAATATATATCTGAACGAAGCCAAAAATCCCCGCTATTATTTTCCTCCTAGCGCTTAATCACATCCTTTCTTCCTTCCCCATCTTTGAATATGAGAGGCCTGTCTGGATAGTTCTGAAGGAAGACAGCATGCTGGATCTGGCATTTGACCTTCTCAAAATCCCAAACATTTGAAAGGGCTTGAAGAGTTTTTCTTTTTTCTAAAGAATATTTTTTTTTGGTCTCATCGGATCTCTGTGACTCTTGTATCTTGATAAGTGCAAAGCAACTCTTGTAAATTAGATTACCACATATAAACTAATATCTAAACTCTTTCACCACAACTTCAATTCTCCCCTTTTAGCTGGTCAGAATATACATGAAGCAACAAACCTTCCAGATGAAGAAGGAAGAAACCCTTCCTTCTGTTCCCTTCTATATTCTCCAGTATTCCATTCCTTTCCTGATTTGTGTCTGATCAGCAGAGCTGTGGAAATATTAACCTGTAAGGAGACTTTGCACGTACAAAACCGATGCCAGTTTCTTAACTCATACCCAACTGTAGGACAATGGTGGAAATCCTCATCCTTTAAAGGAAATTCCATATCGGATTAAAATGATGAGGGTCCTATGTTTACAAATGGCAGTTCAAGTATCTTAATACCTGATATCAATATAGTTTGGAAATAAAGGATATTACTTTATGCCTAAGGAGTATGGATGAAATAAACTCCTCTCCAAATTATAGTAACTAAAAAATGTCAATGAGCATTTTTAATACTGTAGACCTTTGAGGATTTCAGCTCTAAATAAACTGATCCGACTCATATGGACAGAGGTTTTGGCAGAAATGGGATTGTCTAATATGCATGACACTGATTAAAAACATTCTAAATCGTGATGTATCTATGCTTACATCATTGCCAAAATGATTCAGCTGTGTAGGATATATTCTTATTGCCAGAGATGTCATGTATCATCTTGGCTAGAAACACACAGCCACATCCCATTACGGCGAAGACTCCGAGTTTATCCAAATTCTTTCCTATTCTGGAATTTTGTCAGGTTAATACTGCTTGACACACGTGGTCTTAAAATTTTCCATTCTAAATCCACTGCCATTTTGGCATTTGGCTGGATCTGGCCTTACGTGACCGGCATCACACTGAGAACGTTTAGTTTGTCGAATTTAAAATCTATACTGTTTATCACATTATAGACCTATTGCCAGCTAAGGAAATGTCTGTATTAAAAACTTTTTCTAAGATACTTTTTCTTCTAAATGAGGCCGTACATTTAAAGATTTTTATTTGATATTGTATTTATATAACACAGAAAATCAAGAAGTTTTGATTAAATTTGCTCCATTTAAGCATAGCCATTTTGTATTCTAGACAAATTTAAAACCTGGACAAACAGTTTATTGACTCATAGTGCAAATCTTAGCACTGTATTCCTTCTTGGTCATTTGAAATATTTATTGGCATTTTAGGACTGGTCATCAAAACACCAGAATTAAACATTGGCCCTGAACGCAACATTTACAAACGTGCTCTTGCTTATATTTTATTTTACAATCAAACTCTGAGAACAAAGAGTTTATCTGAGAAATACAGCAGGGCAACAACCATCCTAAATCCAGGCACTGTTGGCTTTATGAGCCTATTAAGCACCCATTACATGGTGCAAAGTATTTATTGCAAATGGGCCTTAGCTACTAACACATAGCTTCCTTTCATGTTGTGACTAAGTAATCTGAGATCTCTTTGGGCTGAGAATGTACAGAAAGGTTGCATACGAACTGTCAGCAGGGAAAACTGCCATCAAATCAATGCCTGTAACATTCCTCACAAATTGCAAACAAGGCAGTATCGGGCGCCTGCGGTGTGTGCTCTCTTGCACCACAAATGGCAGATTTTTCTGAATTGAACTCTGACGTAAAGTTCAGTGACACTCAGTCTCTGCAGAGTTGTGGCGCGACTCTTTCTGGATTTTTTTTTAAAGACATTCCCCTGCGAACAGCATCTTTCCGTCTCTTACATCATTCCCTCTGCCAGTACTTTCTGGTCGACTCCTTTTTATGGTGACTTTTACTTACAACATTTAAAGCTTCTCTACAAAGTATGAAAACCAGTTTTAAGGAATTTTAAAAGCTGTCATTTATTTTACTTAATAAAATTAATTTAAAGATGTTTTGAGTATTTCATTTCATTCGACTTAGTGAAATTGATGTTTTAGTGAAATTACTTTTAAGAAGTTTTTGAATATTACTATTTTATATTATTTAAAACTAATATTAAAAAGCTCTAAATATGGTACCTTTATTTTATGTACTGCAATTAGATTTTAGGGAGTTTTAAATATCGTATCATACTTGGAGCTCACTGGTTGCTACCTAGAGTATCATAAAACCAGGAACAACAGTCCTTTTCCTAACCCTGACATCATTTTTTCCCTCATCTTAAGAATCTTACGGTTTCCCTTCAGTTCACCACCCTTTTCTTATTACTGTATATCTTCCCCTTTCCCTGCAAAAACAATCACAACAAAGAAAACATTGTATTTTAAAAAAGAAAAGCTAAAAACAAATAAACAAAAACCAAACACCAAGCCTGTGACTAATCGTGAGCAAAACGTCTTAATTGAAATCTTGCCCCAAGCCTTTGTGGAAGCTACTAATCCCCAGTCCCCCATTCCTTACCCCCTCTTCGAGGAACAGCCCTGTATTCCACAATTGACCCACAGGTCTTGGGGTTATTTTAGAGGCAAATTACGTTGCCTTCCTAACAGACCAAAGTCAGGAGAAAGTGCAGCGGCCTCTTTCTCTGCTGCATTTTGGCAGCGATGCGGAAACCGACCTGGTAAATGCGCAGCTTGCTCCGTCTCCTCATAGTGCCCCACTTTCCCACAAAGTGACTAGGGTGACTAGTATATGTTTATTGCCAGGTCGGAATTCCCGCAGGCCACAGAGCCTCCAGGGCAGCATGCAATTCTGCGGCCTCGCAGCCCTGCCAGCCCTGCTTAGCATTTAACCAGAAGCAGCTGAGATTTCTCAAGTATATGCTTTTCTTTTCTACTGCCCCCTCCCCAAACAGGGCGATAAGGCATACTAATGAACTCGACCACAGTTATTCCTCAGTCTACGAAAAGTGCCACTTCGTTTGTCATGTCAGTATCTGATTCCGAATGACATTTTAATTTTGCGAAAGGAATTGATGAGAAGTTGCCACAGAAAAGGGGGAAAGCTAACCCTGTGAATCCTTGGCCTGCAAGAACCCTGCCACCAGGCTTGCTGGGCTGCCATCTACAACAGCAGATGGCATGTTATATGATGTTATATCATGACCACTATGGCTTTATTTTTGGCATGATCTCTATCAGGAAATTCCTGCAGCTCCCGAGAGAGAGAATATAGAGGTGGGACCTCACATCATCATTTTAAAACATTCTCCTGAGTTCATAGAAAGGACAGGGAAAAGTCCTATTTGTCTCACTTGTTGCTTTCAAAGTTCTTGTACATGTATTATATCCTTTTGTGTGACGTTCACATCCACTCTAGCCATAGGGTGGGGAAACTGAGGGTAGCAGATACTGTCAGCACCCAACCCACGTGCCTTCTCATTCACCATCCTGAAACTGACTTCTTACTACCAAAACCGGGCACTGGAGGGATTGCTCCAGCTGCAGGAATATGCTCGGTCCTCCCTGGGAAGTGCCGAGGTATTAATGATCCTGGGGAGGGCCCTCATGAATCACACACAGGGCTTCTGGGTACAAAGCCCAGCTTCCAGCTTCCTCACTCCTGAAGGAGGACCTCTCTGAGGAGCGTTCCGTGTGGTCTCCCAAAGGTCTCCCAGTGGGATGGAGCCACAGGTGCCCACAGCAGTAACCTGCGCATTCACACGCCCTGAATTGTCTTCCTTCCCTGTCTCGTGTCCTCACTCCCACACTCAGGCTTCCTGGGCTCACTTCCCAAAGAAATTACTTATGTCTAAACCCTTGTCTCGGGGTCTGCCCAACCTAAGATACTGGGGCACAGGGAAGATTATCTGCTAAATACCACACAGCTACTTAATGGAGAACCAGAGCTGGACCCCAGGACTTTGGACTTCTGGCACATCCCCCAGAGAAGGTTGCTACATGCTGACTCACAAGCCCTTTGTAGTGTTGGTCCCAGGACTTCTGGGCAAAAGGAAGAGGCTACAAATGAAGCAAAGTTGTTAGATGGCTACTCCTGGCCTTCTAGGAACTCAGTCACTACCACCAGCGGGAGGAACCAAACAGAAAAGTGAAGAGCAGTAATTACCTAGCATGACGAAAGGGACTCCCAGGAAGGTGGAATTGTATTTCCCACCAGTGAGATTGATGATCCCAGCCGCAGTGAGAGTGGCCAGGCTTATGGTCACCAACCCAAGCAGGCCCAGCCAGGGTTTGCTGCGGACGCAGTCCTGCATAGAGCAGCAGAGGATGGCCATGGTGACCACCAGGATCAGGCTGGTGACCAGGTAACGTTCCGACACGCGGCTGGTCTTCTGGAAATCTTCCCTCAGGGAGGAGGACGTATAAGGGTACATTTTGACTTTGCTGTTGGATTTCTGGAACAGTCGGACAGTGTCGCAGAAGCTCGACTCCCATCTCTCGGCCACCATGTCATTGAGACTGTTGATTGACTGCAGGTAGTAGGTGAGCTGGACAGCCTCTGCGGATTTCACCCGGTCCTTGCTGTGCACGGTGACGCCTCCAAGCTGGTGCCCATTGTACACTGCCCTCCCGTCCTTTAAGTGAGTGATCGGGTACGTGATAGCAAAATTGGTCCGGTTGGTGGCCCGAGCATTCTTTAGCTCCTCCAGAACATGCACGATGTCATCCACGATGCAAGTCTTATCGTTATTCAGGATACATATGTGGGCAAATGTGTAATTGAAACCAGGCCTCGGAACCTGGATCCTGGTCACAGCAGCATGCAACTATAGGAGAAAATGAAAGTCAGTGTTTATTACCAAAAATAAGACATTCATAAGTGCTATTAACTCTGTGGATTCAAATACAGTAAAACATTGGATTGCGAGTAACTTGGTTTGCGAGTGTTCTGCAAGACGAGCAAACATTTCTAATACATTTTAACGTGGTAAATGAGTGATATCTTGCAATAAGAGTAGTTTGTTGCTGGAACGAATTATGCTCGCAAACCAAGATAATACTGTGTCTGTATTTTTTTTTGGCAGGGGAAACTCACTCATGCCATCTCTAAGCTAAAGAGATCAAATTAAATGTTATAACCTTACATCAGAAATAGGTAGTAAGGTTGCAAAGCACACGTCTGAGTAGCAGTCCTCACGGTGTGGCCCCTGGATCAGCATCAGCACAACCCGGGAGCTCGTCAGAAATGAAAATTCTCCAGCCCCACCTCAGACCTGGTAAATCCGAATCTCTGGGGCGGGGCCTAGAAATCTATGTTTTCACAAGCCCCTCAGAAGATTCCGATATAGCTAAAGTGTGAGCAGTGCTGGGTTAAAGTGCCAGCACTATTTCCACAAGTTGTGTTCTTTATTTGTAACTCGATTGGTCTATAAACGTCTGAAAATTTTATGTAGGTCCACTGTTCATCCTCCCGCTTAAGAATGTAACGCAGAAAGTGAACTTAGGTGCACCTCTGTGCAGAGGTCCTCTGCAGGCCTCTCCCTTGCCGTTGGTTTGTAGGGCAGCTAAATGACTTCCCATCCAATTCAGTCACCATACCATAAAAGACAAGAGGGTCACCGTATTCTCTGACTTCCCTTGTCTGCTTCTATGGGAAGGGAGCTATAACGCTAAGAGTCTGGCTGGGATACATGGGGATCGTGCCAAAGGGGCACAGTGGGATTTATTCTCTACGCCTCACCCTCGGTCAGATTTGCCACACCCAGGTCTGTATGCCTGTGATCACAGTGCACATGGGCATACAAGCACTCTTTAACAGCCCCTAAGGCATGCCAGGCACAGTTCTAGGCCCTTCATACAGATGAATTCATTTAATCATTACAAAAAACTATGAAGTACGAGTACTAGCCTCATTTTCCAGACAAGGAAACTGAGACACAGAGAAGGCAAGTGACTTGCCCAAGGTCACACACATGGTAAGAGAGAGCGAGCTGGGCTATACCAGGCAGGCTGGCTCCAGAGCCTGTGTTCCTGGCCTCTCACCATACATCTCTAGGTTGGCAATGCCAGCAGTTGAATGAAGGTTCTTGCTAGCAACTAATTTCTGAATTTGTGTTTTCACTGCCCCACCCCTAAAAAATCACAAGTGCTCAAGTTCAGGTATGTAGGAATATGTGTAATCTATAGTCTAAGGTTAGAAAATAAGGCCTTCTCTCTGTGAACTGTGGCCAGTCTTCAAGATGAGGCTAGAGGTTAGACATGTAGTTGAGTATTAAGTGAACGAGTGCGTCTGGGACGGTGTCTAGCACTCAGCAGGCTCTCCCAAGAGCAGAGATAGCCAGTATTGTGTATCTGATGAGTGAAAAGCATTTCACACGTAAAGGGAATAAAGCTTAACATCCAGAGTTGCCATCCTATGTCTGTGCCATTATAACTCATAACTTTCCGAGCATCTCCATGACCCTGATATATTTTCTCTTAAATCTGTTCTAGATGGATTGTTTGCTAAGACATTTTGCTGTGCTTGTGCCAAGGTGGGTGGGATATTTATTACGCTTTTTGAAAATGTCTGAGGGGCGCCAGCTGTCAAAGTCCTTAAGTTAGCACATAGCATGAGCTGTTAATCCTAATTCTCAGTGCCCCTCCCCCACATATCCTCATGAGCACTCACCCTCAGATTCAGGAAATAATTCATTGCATTATGTTTGGCTAAAATATTTTGAGTTGTTTCCTTGATACACACACACACACACACACACACACACACACACACACACACACACACACACACAGANACACACACACACACACACACACACACACACACACACACACACACACACACACAGAGTCTCCCAGAGATACCCAGGAGACTATTTTTACAAAACTCTAACCATATGCTAAATTTGTTTTGGTGCTTTGAGATTAATGATGAGCAAAATATCTTCAATATTTTAAACTGTGAGAATGTGTTCTCCTCCATACTTCTCGAAGCATGGCCCAGTGAATTTTGATTAAAAGAATTCCTAACTACAAAAACATTCCAAAATATAAAAGGTTATTTTGGAGGAGAGATGAACCAAGAGGAATTTAATGATGAGAGAGTTTGATAAGAGTTAAAACATAGACTTTGGGGAAAGATTCAGAATAGCCTAGAAAAGGAGTGGTATTGAAAGCATGCATATGTGTAATATTTAGTGCATTGTTTGTTCCCATGAACAGTCTAATAAATCTCCCTTAGAGTGATTACTAAATACGTCAAGAGAAAAAGATTGCCAAATAAGATGGTGTTAAGCCACAGGGCTGAACCCAATTATAGCAAGGGGATATTTTCCATCCATTCTCTAAGGCGACCATGCCCTACTAGGTGGGGAGTTGTACACTGTTGAGTGACTGCCAGCCCTGCAGATCTAACTCTATGACCCCTGGGACCCATGACCAAAGAGAGCAGACACTATGTTAACCCCTGTACCACCAGATCATAGGAGGGAGGCTTGGAAAATGAGAACCTTACTGAAGTTTGAGAGGGAAGGTTTCTTAACTCTTAGTACCAGAGCTGCTGTGAGATGCAGCTGCTTTGAATTTCCGATGGAGAGGTGGGTAGAACATGTGTCACTTTTGCTTCTGAGTGGCATGGAGATGCTAAGTGACAAAGCAGCCCGAGAGGGGGTGTTGGCTGAGGCCACCCACCTGGCAGGGGGAGTCCATGGAATTCTACTATGGGATAAGAGTGAGAGGATAATAAGAGGCATGGGAAAGGAGAATGAAGACTCCCTTCTGTGACTTCTGAAATGACTCAGTTCTGCTCTTCGGTTCTTATGACGACACATCAAGTACACACACAACCTACTCTTGGCTGCCCACACAGCTATGGGAAGACACACTGCACGTGCTACCTGGACAGATACCTGTATAGGGTTTTAGAATGCCTGATTTACTTTCCTAAAGGAGTCCCACTCAGGACAGTAGAGACATTAGTAGGTGTTCTTAGATATGTTCGCTTTATACTTCTAATTCCTGCACTGAAGAAGAAGAAGAAGGTAAAAATGATGACAAGTTAGCTTACAGTGACTTCATCTTTGCCTTTAAATTAATCTTTGCTCTTGGGGGAAGAAGGGGGAAAGAAAGACAGGAAAACATCAAAGCATGATAGTGAAATGGTGACCAAGCCACCTCAGTCCACAAAATGGACAGTCTCAATCCACACAAGCTTAGTACTGGGCTGGGTAAGAGACCCTCTTCTCAGAAAAGGAAATGAGGGGAAAGTGACATGAAGTAATAGTCCTTACCCTTAATATAGTGTCACTCTGTCATGTGAATCGATATAGAATCCATGTTTCTATCACTATGTATAGACTTTGGATTATTCACTCAACACACATTCAAGAAATATTAATCAAATCTACTGGGTTGTCAATAATAGGATAATTTCCTTGAGTTTAGGGTGCTGACACTCACATATGGAAAATCACATAAGAGATACAATGTCCAAAACCATGGGAAGACCCTAACAGCCAGAGGCTAGAAGTGAATATTACATTGAAATTCATTCTGAGGCTCTGAACATACTGTTTAAATTGTTAGCTGCTTTGGGTTCATCACCCATTGGGTTAAGAATGATGATGGTAATAGTAACTAGTCTGCTAAGTGCTTTCTATGCAGTTTTAAGAATTTACTTAATAACTGTCTCTCTATGGAGATGGTTAAATCATTATTCCCATTTTATAGCTGGAACATTTGAGGCCTGGAGAATGTCAATAACTCACCTAAGGTGACCTAGTAAAGAAAGGGCAAATGCAGGATTCTCAATTAGGCTTTACCCCACAGTGGGACACTCAGCCCTAGGCCAGCACAACTTTAGAACTTGAGTGAGGATGACGAGGACCTGGGCAAGAATGAAGAATCATCCGCCCTCCTGGTTCATGTGATCAGCTATCGAAGTGACTGAGCTGTGGATGGAACGGCCACACTTGGGGATCTGGGGTCCATTAAGAAAGACCAGAAATAATCCAAACCGCCAAACCTCATCTTTAGACAGCAATGTTACGTGGCACTATTCCCGGGTAATGAAGGGGGTGGGTTTTGAGCTCACTGACTTCTCTTATTCTCCATCCAGCCTCTGTAGTTGTCAAATAAAAATTTCAAAGACAGGCTTACCAAGAAAAAAGGCCGTGCGCACAATGGAATCCAGTAATAAGTTTTGGCTTCCAGTCTGGCTTGTGCTGCTTAGGTAGGAGTGTCAGAGACCCCAGGAACGTCACTCTGCTTCTTCAGGTCTCAGATGTTTCAATTGAAAAGAAGGTTGATCTAGCTAATCTTATAGACAGTCCCTTTCAGTTGTAACATGACATAATTTTAAGCTGAGTGACATCCACAGACTATACAATCAGATTCTGGGTGTAAGAAAGTTAGCTTCATAAATATCAACTTGAGACTTATTACAGCTGATTCAAATATGCTTTTACAACACACTGAAGTTCTTTTTAGGTCACTGACAGATCTGATAGTAGATGAAACCCAGAAAGAAAACCACAGGGTAGGGAAAATAGGTTTACTGGGGAAAAAAAAAGAAAGCTTCTTTTCTGAGTGATTTCCCATTGTGGGGAGGCAGTGGCTCTTCTAATCCCCTTCTGCCAGAGCCTGGGACAAAGCCAGTGTGGACTGCTGGTCACGATGGGCCAGAGTCTAATTTCCTCTCTGCCTCTCCCTGGCACACTCAGACCTTCCTCAGAAGACAGCAGGGGCACCTTGTAGAGGAGAATTCCAGAAGGGATCCGGAGGAAGGAAGTGTCTGCTCCTGTGTGGTGATTAACATAGGAAAAATACC